CACGGGTGTGTGGCATGTGGCGTTCAATTCAGTACGCAATATCATCTTGAGTGTGTGTGTGTGCGTGTGTGTCAAGCCCTGTCTCTATGGGTTGACCATTAACTTCTCTCTATTTCGATTTTAGATTCAACAGCAAGCAGGGGACGCCTGAAGCAGAGATAGGGCAGGCGCCAACGAAGACATCTATCTCTTGCTTGTGATATCGACGGGAGACGCCCTGTCGACCTACGTGCAAGTTCTCAGTTGACCATGTAAAACTATATGGTTTCTGACTTTTCGCCTTTCTGTTTGCGCTGGGCCGCTTCCAGGTTTTTGCAAGGTCATCTAATGTGATTTCGTAAAGTGCTAACCTGAACTTATTCAAGACGCTTCGCGTCGACAGCCGCCCAAATGCCATTTGGATGACCTCTTGCTGTTCCGTATGGTGACTTTGTACATCGTGGCAAAGCTTGGAAGGGATGCAAGGCTGGCGCAAGAGAAGTCCACGAACTTGCACACCAATATTCGCTTCCTGATGGAACAACCTGCGGCTCCTCAACGCATGCCTGAGGTTGCATCGTTTTGGAGGACTGAGGAGTGGCCCAAGGGCATGTTCCGTTTCGAAGGGATTGTGCAGTCTGTCAACGAGCGGCAGCCAAGGATCGTCCACACCGAGCTCAAGGAGTGGCGGCCCCATGCGTGCTGTCTCTGGATCTCACGGGACCGTTCGTGAATGGGGTCGACATCGATGGGGACCTCCAAAAAGTACTTGCTTGTTGGGGCATACACCTGGCCGGTGATGAACGAAGCACCATGGGACGAACTTGAGGAGATGGAAGTCCATCCGGATTGGCCAAGGATTGAGGAAGAAGAAGCCCTTCGAGATGTGGCCTACGAGGAACCTCAACAGCCGGAGGGCGATGGTGACGACTTCTCGTACAGGCCTACCTCGGAAGAAGGAGAGGTTCAAGATCTTCGAGAACCGGAGAGCGATGAAGAGATAGAAGCTCTGCTGGACGAAGGAGAACCAGGAGAAGAAGGTGAAGGTGCTGTGGTGGAGAATGACCGCAACCAAGAGGAAGATCAAGGGGATCAAGACCGAGTCCGAAAACGCCGGAGGAGCCGGAGGAGCGCCAGAAGGTGTACAAGATGGTCACTATGCCCTCTGCCTCCCCTTGGCATCGAAGAGCGCTTCGGAGGTGTTGGCTGGCGCTCAAGAGCTCTATGGGCTGTTGATGAAGCACGGCTACCCAGTTGCCAGGGTACACACTGATGCGGCCGAGAGTTCGACAATGAATCTCTCGGACGTTCAGCCCACCAGATGAGCACCAGAGCAATGGAAGGGCAGAGGCAATGATTGCTTCCACCAAGCAGCGAGTTAGACGTCTCCTACATGGTAGCAACATGCCGGCCAAACGGTGGCCTGCCGCGGCAAGACATGTCACCGAGCTCGAGCGAAGAAGAAGGGAGAACGTCCAAGAAAAGCTCCCTCGCTTTGGTCAGCTGATTACTGCAAGAAAAAGAGCATGGAAAAGGGGTGGACCATTTGAGGTGACGTCTGAGCACGTGACCTACCTGACACCTATGCCTGAGGTCTCGAAAGGGCATGCTACCTGATCAAAGATGTCAAGGAGCCTCCGGATGACGATCGCCCACTGGAGCTGGAAGAAGTTCATGCGCAGGAGGATCCAATTCGCCTACGGTGGAGGCTGCGAGATAAAACTCCGTTGGCATGCATCCAAGGGGCGGAGGACCTCCAACTAGAGGACGATCGCAGGAGGCAATTTACGAAGAGGAGAAGAACATGCTGTTTTCAGCACCTCGGGAATTGCCTTTGGCAAGGGGCTTGACGGCCCTACGACTGGATGGAGCAGGTGGCAGCAGTTGATCGCCTACTCGAAGATGAAGTCCTGCAAACCAGGATTGTGCCCAACGACGAGGTCTACCGTGACAAAGAGTTGTGGATTGAGGCCATCGTCAAGGAAATTCAGTCCCTCGAGGCCAAGAAGGCGATTTGACGCTTGACGCCCGCGGAAGTCGCCTACTACCAAAGGGAGCGTGGAGACAAGGTTGAGATTGTTCCTGGCAAGGCAATTCATGCGGCGCAGATGGACGACGAAAATGTCGACTAGTGGTTTGTGGGAACTACCTGAAGGGAGCAGGCCGAGGCGCAATGGATCGATCAGAAGCCAGCCCAGTTGTACGCTGGAGGAGCCGACACTACATGCTTGGGGACCTCATTGGCACTGGCAGCTTCGAGGGAGTGGCATGCAGCTAGCGTGGACATCAAGACAGCCTTTCTAAATGCCCCATTGCAAACCTTGCAGGAAAGCAGCAAGAAGAAGGCCATGGCCCTGGAAGACGCTCATGGGCGACATCAAGAAGATATACCGCCTCAAGGGCAGGAGGAGCAGGTAGAGGGACAGTCCGAGCAGGGCCCAGAACAACGCAAACGGCTGGCCCTTATGCTTCCACCCAAGCTGCTTATTCGCCTTGGATTGGCAAAAGAAGGGGAGGTGGCTGGTGGAGAGGCGCTCTATGGACTCCGGGAATCCCCAAAGTTGTGGGGTGACTATAGAGACATCGAGATCAGTCAGATGTCCTTCACTGTGGGCTATGCAGCGTACGAGTACCAACAAAGCTTCGCAGAGGAGAACTTGTGGCTGGTCCGAAAAGATGCTGAAGATGGGGCTCACGTCGAAGGCCTGGCACTGGTCTATGTGGACGATGTGATGCTCTTTGGCGCCAAGGAAGTGGTGGAGAAGGGACTTCAGTGCTTCCACAAAACTTGGGAGACATCAAAGCCCACTAGTGGTTGGTGAAGGAGAACCAGTCCGATATTGTGGCATGGAGTTGAGCCGAACTGACACTCTCGAGATTCGTTGTAGAGGATTTGAGAACGGAAGCTAGCGGCTCTACATCGACTTCGATGAGACAGTCATTGAGTACACCGCGCACGAACGGCCGAAGTTAGTGAAATGGAATAGCCATCTAGGCGCCAGGTTGGGGACAAGTGCAGCCATCTAGGCGCCAGGTTGGCTGTCTTACGGCTGCGTTGGAGCCATCTTGAGACCAACTTCGTCTGCCTTGGGGCCCATAATGGTGATACAACTTCGGCATTGCGGCGTTGCCAAAAGCCATCCAAAAATGCACCTCAAAACGCTCTCCCCAGTGGCCTTGCAGCTCAACCATAGCCACGCGCGCGCGAAAAGATAGGCGCCAGGTTGGCTGTCTTACGGCTGCGTTGGAACCATCTTGGGGCCAACTTCGTCTACCTTGGAGCCCATAATGGTGATACAACTTCCGCGTTGCCAAAAGCCATCCAAAAATACACCTCAAACCGCTCTCCCCAGGGGCCCTGCAGCTCAACCATAGCCACGCGCGCGCGAAAAAAAGCGCCAGGTTGGCTGGGTTACGGCTGCGTTGGAATCATCTTGGGGCTACCTTGGAGCCCATAATGGTGATACAACTTCGGCATTGCCAAAAGCCATCCAAAAATGCAGCTCAACCATACCCACGCGTGCGCGAAATAAAAGGCGCCAGGTTGGCTGGGTTACGGCTGCGTTGGAACCATCTTGGGGCCAACTTCGTCTACCTTGGAACCCATAATGGTAATACAACTTCGGCGTTGCCGAAAGCAATCCAAAAATACACCTCCAAAACGTTCTCCCCAGTGGCCCTGCAGGCCGATCAAGACACAAAAACTCCTCCAAAACGCTTTCCCCCGTGGCCCTGCAAGCACGACGTAACGAAAAATCATCCAAACATGTGCCCCCAAAACGCTCTCACCAGTGGCCCTGCAGCCCAACCATAGCCACGCGCGCGCGCGAAACCCCCCCAGCAAAGCTATTTGCGTGGCAGCAGAGCTTAGAGAGCCCCATAGCACGCCCTGCGTGAGCTCTCTTCTAAGTACGTGTTTCTAAGGGTCCTTTCTTTCTTTTTGCCTTTCACGATAAGCAGGGGGCCAGCGGCCGACAAGCAAACGCTGGCTAACAAAGCTATGCTTGTTCGGTGGATGCACAGTCTGATCAACTGTGTGTGCCTGCGACCAACTTTTGCACAAGCTGTCACTCCAATTTCCTCGGTTTGATTCATGGTTTTTACATGCTACTTTCCCCCAAACCCTGGTTTCTGCAGCTGCGCCGCGCCGCTCGTTTTCGCCACCGCTGAGTTCTGTACGAGAAACAACTTTGTTCAAACACCTACAATTTCTTGGACCTTTCGCCTTGCCGTTCTTTCGCATTCCTTTCACCTGGGAACTGAGTTAACTGTTAATGTCAGAGCGTGAACCGCTCAGTCGAACCACTTGGGTGCGGGTGTGATCCCCGTCACTGGGGCGCTGAATTCATGCTGGAAATCGTGTAACGGATTTTCCCTTTCCACCACTCCTTGGATTCTCTTAACTGATCACTTTTCACTACTGGATTGACTGCCCAACAGCCGCCGGGCTTGTACGGACAAAAACATTTGATTGCGTAACTCTGTGTCTGAATTAGCCGCCGGGCTTTCACGGAGAATAAGCCCCGACGTGTTTCTACCCCAAACACCCCAACCCCTCCCACCCACTAATTAGGGTAACAGAGGGAAATGGTACTCGATACACTTGTGTGTCGGTGCCTTTCCCTTTGTTGTTCCTTTTCTAGTCTACTCTACCCGGGCGGTTTAAGACTAAAGTCCCGCTCCCTAACTATTGCACTTAATTCATTTCTGCTAAGTAATCAGTAACTCTAGAGTGCTAAGTATTCAGACACACACACATGCACACACACACACACATGGACGCTGTCCTTCTTGCGCTTTTCGTCGTTTGTTGAGCTTTCTTTCAGGCTTTTTAGGTGTTTCTTGAGGCTCGTTTCCCTGCCCCAGTCAAGGGCTAAGTATTCACCTTTTCCGTCGCATGTGCGCCGAAAAACGGCCACGTGTGTGTGTGTGTGTGTCAAACCCTGTTTCTAAGGGTCCTTTCTTTCTTTTTGCCTATCACGATAAGCAGGGGGGCAGCGGCCGACAAGCAAACGCTGGCTAACAAAGCTATGCTTGTTCGGTGGATGCACAGTCTGATCAACTGTGTGTACCTGCGACCAACTTTTGCACAAGCTGTCACTCCACTTTCCTCGGTTTGATTCATGGTTTTTACATGCTACTTTCCCCCAAACCCTGGTTTCTGCAGCTGCGCCGCGCCGCTCGTTTTCGCCACCGCTGAGTTCTGCAGACACGAGAAACAACTTTGTTCAAACACCTACAATTTCTTGGACCTTTCGCCTTGCCGTTCTTTCGCCTTCCTTTCACTTGGGAACGGAGTTAACTGAAAACCAATGTCAGAGTGTGTGTGTGTGTTTGTGTTGCGTGGGGCATTCATTTTCACAGAAAGGGTAAAGGCGCCGGCTGCAAATGCTTGTGACTCAGGCTGGTGACAATGATGTCCACTTGCCTCAAGGCGTGGTAAGACTGACGCTGATGCATGTAGGTTTCCCCAGACGGTCGTGCTGTGGAGCATTCCCCAACTGAATTGGTAATCTGAGTGATGTGCCAACCAAAGTAAGGGGTAATTAGGTTCCAGAATCAAACCAAGGTGCACCGAGCAGCGCCGTTCAGCGCTTTTCCATGAAGGCCAACAAATCACTGTCCATCCGGGGCCTGTGCGAGCCAAAGAAAAGAGTTGGGTTAGATGGAACCTTGCTTGAATGCTTGCGCGCGCGGCCCCGTCGCGCCGGTAGTAAAACAGCTCAATGCAACAAGTGCTGGACGCGTGCGTGCCCGGAGCCAAGTCGCTCGCGCGACGAAGTTGAGCAGGAGGTAGAGTGTGTGGGACAGCGCGCTGATGTCTGTTAGGTTCGTCTCTGCAGCTGTGGCAAGACTTTTGGCCCGTAAAAACAATACTGCCAGGCAGCAAAGGGAGCTGCAAACAGACAGCTCGCAGACAAGTGACTTCGGAAAGTGACAGAGTGAGCGCCTGCCGGACGGTGTCAACCAGGTTGCGCGCAACTTGTTGCAGCCCCACCATGACGCGCGTTCCGCATGTCCACAGGTCACTCTCAATTTGCTCGGGTTGTCTTCAAACGCAAGAAGAAAGAGCAAAGAAAGGGTTCAAGATTGCTATGTGTAGGGTTGGGGTATGATTGGTTTGCGCTTGGGATGTAGCAGCCGCTGCAGGCGCTGGCGTGGTCGTTCATTTTTTGCTTCGTGATTATGACGATTTGGGCTATGCTGATTGTGGAGATGATCAACCCGCTCGTGCAGGACAGAACACTTTATATATGTAACCTCTCCGATCTAGCATAGTGACTAGGAAAAGTACAGTCAGACTTGGTCATGCTAGTTCACGCTTTCTTGACTGTGTAGCCATGTTCTACCTTGGACATGCTTATTGCAGTCTGTGGCGCTGTGACTTTGTACAACGAAACTGTCTTCTAATCTCTGAACTCGCAAAGCATCCTGTTTCGCATTGTTGTGAGAAGCGGCGGCGTGAGGAGATACACGCCAAATACGACACATTTCAAGATTGCGAGCAATGCCTCAGAGCAACCTCGTCTGTCATGGATGCAAACCTGTTGCTCTTCAAGACAGTGATAGCCGGAGACAGCTGGGGTACAATCGCAGTACCTGTCATTGAGATCCTCGGACTGCATTTCGGCTGGTGTCTTGCGCCAAGCCATTTGTGCATGAAATCGTCTGATTGAAGGGCTTATCCTCCGACCGCCATCATTTTTGTCGGCTCCCTCCTGACGTTGGTCTTCGGGGTGCTTAATTTGATTGTAGCGGTGGCGACTCAGCGAGGAGGAATATTGAGTATAGAGAATTACATAGCTTGTTTTTTCCCGAAAGCACACGCGAAGGGTTCACCGTAAAGAACGGCTGCCAAATTCAAGTGCCCAACTATCATCATTGTCGTCGCCGTCATCATTATCAGCAGCGTCGTCATTATCGTTTATCGGTGTCGCCTTCTTTTTCTTCTTCTTCTTCTTCATCATCATCATCATCATCATCTCATCATATGAAGTTGATGCAGGTGATTGATACGACTGTCAAGCGTAATCACCATCAACACAAAATAACAAAGATTCCCGCAAAAGCGTTGGAACATCTATATATAGAGAGAGACTGAGGTTTCATTGGAGGACAATGAGCTGCAGGGAAGAGGTTGCTAGCAAAATGCGCGTGCGACCAGGATGACCTCAATGAATTTGCAAGAATCAGGACTGGATGCGATAACTTTCCCTCAGCATTCAGGCCCTTCTGGAGTTGTTTCGCCTCAAATTGCAAATCGTCCAGTGCTGGAGTTGGATTGCGCAAAGCTTCCAAGGGAGCTGACACTTGATTCAGGTTTTGATATGGATCATGAAGTTCGTAGGGCCATGCAACATCCAGACCTGGTGGATTTCAAGAAATGGATTCACTTCAAGTGTGGCCTTCCTTCTGACGAGTACAATTTCGGAAGTCCAGACAGGGATCCGCTGGAACAAGTCAGAGATTTTGTAAATTGGCTGGTGGAAACTGGCAGGGGCCAATATGAGGCAAATGGCAAATGCAGAGCCTACTGAACTCCCTCCACTACCACCACCGCGCGAGGCGCCGCCAGCACCACACACCCTGCACAATTTTTGAATTTAGAGGACGCGCAAGCAAGGAAGCAACCATTGCGCGCAAGCATCCAGGCACCTAACTTGGCAAACGTTGAAGCAACAGCGCAGCCAACAAGAGACGACAGCTTGCCAGCAAGAGCAGCCCCTGCGGGATCTATGCAGTTAGATGAGACAACAAACCAGCCAAAGCAAGCAAGCGAGCCAGAAGCACCTATCAGTGAAACCGTTTGGTACACAGATGTGGGGGTACATAGTTGTTCTTTTTAACTTTTACACAAACCCAATTGTCTCAGAGCTATATGCTTTTAACAAAATGCGCTTAAACAGTTATTTCAGCTGAACGGGGTGTAACGGTAAGTTCACGTTGGTGTGGTATAGTTTCAATATTATGATTGTTTTGCTTGTCCACTTGTAAATGTGTAACAGTAAGTTCATGTTGGTGTGGTATAGTTATTTTAAACGTATGCTAGTTTTGCTTGTTTCTTTCTAAATTGTTTAGTCAATGTTTTGTGTTTTGTGTTTAGTTTTTTGAAATTAAATATGATTTGTTTGACCTTGGGCTTTGACTGTGTGGACTGCAGAAGTTTGGATTGACAGAGAGAGAGAGAGGAAGAGAGAGAGAGAGAGAGAGGAAGAGACGATATACATGATGGGTGGCGTTGTTCGTGCGGGGACTCTTGGTTGGTCGGCCCCCCCGGGTGATATCTTAGAAAGCCAACCAATTGATGGGGGCGGGGGGGTCATTGCTTAGCTATCTCTGGCAATGCGGGGGTGGGTCGTGAATGATTTTTGAATAAGGGATTTTGTAAAGAAAGTGCGCGCATAGTTGTTGGTAAATTTTGGAAGCCTCAGAGATTAAAGATATTATGAAGAGTAAAAAACATTGATGATAACTAAGCGCAGCAAACCTACAGGAAAAGAACATACAAATAAATGAGGATCAGTTTCAGGAAACCTGCAGTCCAAGAAACTCCAGAAACTTGTTTGCTGGACTACCACCTTTGCTGGAATGATGTTTGTTGTTTGTCAAACCGCTTGAATAAGGGATTTTGTAAAGAAGGTGCACATACTTTTTGTGAATTTTGGAATCCTTAGAGATTGAAGAAATTGTGGAAATCTGCACCCAAAGATCTTCAAAATCAAAAAACCTCAATGGAAATCTCCAAGTCTCAATGGAAATCTGCATCCAAAGACCTTCAAAATCAAAAAATCTCAATGGAAACCTCCAAACCTCAATGGAAATCTGCGTCCAACTTCAAAATCCAAAAAAGTCCCAATGGCAACGTCCAAATCTCAATGGACATCTGCGTCCAACGACCTCCAAAGCCAATAAGAATCAATTGACATCTCCAAATCTCAATGGAAATTTGCATCCAAAGATCTTCAAAATCTTTAGAGACCAGAGATGAGAAATAGCAATATACAACAATAAAAAGATTACACAAAAACTATCCCTCCCCCCAAAAGAGACATTATTCTGGTGGCCTTTAGTAATCAGAGGTCTACATAACAAAGGTCAATGAAGAAAAGGTAAAAGGTAAAGCTCTTATATAAGGGCACATTCTTTTAAAAGGTTTTTTGTTTAGGAAAATCTCAAAAAGTTCAATAGTAGTTTTCAAACAACACAAAAAATCTTATATCCTTTAAACACAAGTAAAAGGGATTATACTAGGCTGAAATGACAAAGGACTTGTGAAAACTACCTCCAAATTACGGCGGCTAAGTCATGAAGGTTTAGCCTACCCCCCACAAGTATTTATGTCATGAAGCAAAAGCTTGGAAAAACATCAAGATCAGAGATGCCAGAGGTTGTCACCAAAGATCCTAAAAACAGTTGATTTTATATTGACAAGCATCATGACATACGACTTTGGTATCTAAACAATGAATAAACCATCGAGAGATAGGAATTTGAGAGCAAAAACGCACAAAGGCAGACTTAAAGCAAAAGATGTTCCTATGACATGTGGACTTTCATTAGCTCTAGTCTTCCAAGGGCATGCCCCCCACCACCCCCCCCAAAAAAAAGAACTCAGGACCAGGTCAACAAGGCCTATGTCATGAGTGTGTGCCAATGAAATTGCCCTGTATAACATTTGTACATGACTTAGGACTTGCCCTGGGAAAGTTGTATGTCATTTCGACCCAATTGGCCTAAGTCATCTCACCCTAGTATAATCATTTAGCAGGTGAGAAACATCAACAAATCTTAAAACATCTCAAAAGACCTCAAAAAATCTCAAAGAGTTTCAATAAATCTCAAAACATATCAAAATCATATATAAAAGTGAAAACAGTGAACACCGTGAAAGCAAAACCATAAACACCAACAACAAAACAACCTGAGGCCTGGAGCTTTGTGTGTCAGGGTCTCAGGGGTTTCTTCGAGAAAATTCTGGAACTTAGATAGATTTTCTGGAACTTGAGTTTCGTTTTTTGGGCGCCTGCGGCTGCGGCCCGCCAATTCTCAAGCTTCTAGATTATGAAAAATTGCGCGCCTGCGGCGGGCCAATCCTTAGCCTCTTATATTTTGTTGGCGCCTGCGGCGCAAACAGTTTGAACCTCACAACTGCCCACGCATGGGAATTGTTCAAGGGAGACAGGCAATCAGCAGTCACAGGAAGTACCTGGACAACTCTTTATCGGAAGTAACTTCACAAATATTGGAGGCAGTCGCGGGCATAACTGTTTCCTGCACATGTTTTTTGCAAACTTGACGTTTTTTGGTGATACAAAATCGCAAGCAGCAACCTGAAACCTCACTGCTGGAGAAAAATTAGGTTACAATTGGCCAGCAACGGGCTCAAGAAACTGGAAACTTCCATGACTGTAAAAGCAAAAACTAGTACGGAGTACAGAGCCATTGGGTCGCAGTCCCTGTCAACAAAAACTTAAAAGCTTTTTTTTTTTCGGAACAGTGGGACCAAACAGTTTGAACCTCACAATTGCCTACATCAGATTTTTTAAGGGAAGGCAGGCAGTCACAGGAACTACCTGGGCAACTTTTACTGGAATAAATTTCGCAAATATGGAAGGCAGCCGTGGGCAGAATTTTTTGCTGCGACATGCCTTTGAACTTGTCAGAGGACAGTCCCAGGAGCAACCTGCAACCTCACTTCAAGAAACTCGACACTACAAATTTCGATTTTCTATTCAAAAATGTATTTATGTTTTTTCAAGAAGGGACATTGTTTGGACTACCTTTTTGGCGCCTGCAGCTGAGTCACTTGCGCAAAACGAGTGGTGGACTTTGCAGCATTTTGTCAGCGCTTCTGCGATCTCATGTCTTCGCCAATTATTTGCAGAAAAGTCACCTATACACAAAATGAGTAGCTGACTTGGAAGCCAAAAAACACATGTGAGATCACAACATTTCGAAAGAACTGCTGCGATCTTGCCCTCTCACTTTGAGTAGTGGACTTTGCAGCATTTACTCTTAAAAATACAAGCTTAAAACATACAGTATTTGCAGTTTCCAGTTTCTTAAGCCTATTTCTGGCCAATTGCATCCCAATTTTCTCCAGCAGTGAGGTTTCAGGTTGCTCCTTGAAACTGTGTATCACCAAAGAATGTCAAGTTTGCCAGTAAAAAAAGTGTCCAGGTAGTTCCTGTGCCTGTCTGCCTCCCCTAAAAAATTCCCAGGTAGGGAATTGTGAGGTTAAAACTGTTTGGTCTCACTGTTCCGAAAAAACATGCTTTTAAGTTTTTGTTGACAGGGACTGCGACCCAATGGCTCTGTACTCTGTACTAGTTTTTGCTTTTACAGTCATGGAAGTTTCCAGTTTCTTGAGCCCGTTGCTGGCCAATTGTAACTGCAGGGAAGAAAGCCGCACTCAAATTTCACAGAAACCAACTCAAGCGGTACCCAGCCATTTTTTACTCAAGGCACAGCTGAAAAAAGGTTGCTGTGTCACCAGCAGGTTCTGAGCCCAAGGTAGGCGTAAGACGGGGATTGAGGAGGTCGATCTCCCCGCAGCCCCGCATCCTTGCTGCCATGAATGCCCAGCAGCGGCGCCGGCAGCAAAGGCGCGCTCCCGAAGGAGAAGGAGATCCCAAGGCAGCGCCGGCAGCGGATCTTCAAGAAGAGGAACCTCAAGGGCCGCTTGGTGAGCCAGGGGAACTGAGCTGCAGGGTTTGGAGGATATGAGAAGCCAAGCTCCACATCTCTATGGGGAAAATAAGAGTGGTGAGTGAGTCCAAGGACCTGTTGCTGACAGGGAAGACTCCTCCCTTGGTGACGAGGCCGACGTTCCTGGAAAGGGAGGAGGCCAAGACACAACGTTCCTCTCACCCCTGGTCTGGGCGGTTGACATTCGACGAGACAAGGGGCCCCTTGGCCAGGACATGCTCCAGGCCCCACTTTGGAACCACCTGTGCTCCCTGGCCGCTGCGGGGCTACTTCTCTTTGTTGGGGGAGGCCCCAACTGCCGTGGTGGCTGGAGAGCGAAAAAATGAAACAATCGCACCTGGATGAGACTACGTACATTTCGTTTGGCACCCCATATGAATTGCGACGGAACAATTGGAAACAAGTTGAAACCGTAGCTCTTCCATAGCGTGCGCCCATTTGCAGTGTGCAGTACGACTACTGGAACACCGACCTGGTGAATCCCTTGGACAAGAGCCTGAAGAGCACGGTCACTTAAGGACACCACCAATCCTGGAGGAGCAAGTGGAGAAAGAGCAACTGGCCTTAATGAATGGTGGCGAAGGAGAAGAGAGGCAAGACGAGTACCTGGATGAAGGTGAGCTTCAAGTTGCACTTCGGCAGAGCGCCCAACTGGTACCAAATGCTAGTGAAGCATTGGTTCCTCGGATCTTCATGTCACCTCAACCTGGACCAGTTCACGTACCCGACCCGGGACAGTCATGCAACAGCAGATGTTGACACTGTTCGAGGTGTTGAGGCAAGAGAATCGAGACTTGCGAGATGAACTTCGAGATCAGCGCCTTGGCTTTGAAATGCAGGTGAAGGCACTTCAGAAAGAGAGCGAAAATCAGGCCTTTAGGACACCGGACAGTCATCCTGGGGGAGAGTCACGATCGGGAGAAGAACGCCTACCTGCAAGCCTGCAACAACCACTGTTGAACAAGAGCGGAAAAGGCTCTATGAGTTGACGCCTATGCAGCAGTTTGAACAGATGCAGTCCATGATGGTTCAAGCTACACCAATGATGGGAAGAGGCAACAGGGGAAGAACTGCGAGAGAGCGGTCTAGGTCTGGCGGTCCTCAGCCTGGTGATGGGAGAAGGTCGACGACGACTACCAGATTGGGTCCTACGGCACCAACATCACATCCAACTTCGACCCATTCAACGGGCCACCTATAAGATTGAGCCATCTGCAGAGCTGCGAAAGACACGATGGGCACCGGTTGAGAAGAGGGCCATCAGCATGCTACTCGCCTCGACCCCAACGAATGTGAAGGAGGAATTGGTGGCGACTCGAACTTTGTCACCTTTGGGACTGGTGAGCAAACGCAGAAGCAGGGTTACTAGGGGAGGCCTGCGCGGGCTTGCGGCGGGCTCAGGCGAGCCACGGACATTGGCTTGAACTTGCCCGGCGCAACGATCCGCGCGAAGGGCATCAACAAACTCAGCAGGAAGACCCTCTCCCAGCGGCCGGATCTGCAGTTCAGGTGTTCGCTAGTGAAGAACACGTTGCAGCTTGATACCATCCCGACAGAGGAGACGGTTCGAACGTATTCAGAGCATCTCCTCGCCGAACTTGAGCAACTCATGCGTCGGGTGAGACCGGCGTCAAGCACTACCACAACAGGGCAGCCTGGAGGCGGTGGAGGAGCTCCTGCAGTGAAATCTCTCCAGAATGAAGAGAAGGAGAAAAAGGGTGATGGGCCTACAGCCAACAAGGGTCCGTGCAAATACTTCCTGACGGAGTCGGGCAGTCGTCGTGGCCAGGCGTGCAAATGGGCGCATCAGCTGGACAAGAGTGACAAGTCGGGTGGCGAGAGGCGCTGTTTTACTTGCGGAGCAACGCAGCACATGGCAAAAGATTGCCCAAGAAAGGAGACCCCGCCAAATGAGCTGGGCATCGTGTTCCTCAGCCCGAAAATGCCTATGGCGAACTTGACATTGAAGGACATCTCGCGAAAGTCTTTTGCAGATGTGGAGGGAGAAGGCCCGGAGCGTCAGCCTCCTCGATCCTGCGCCTGCAAGGAAACCGCTTGGCCATAAACTGCTTTCCCGTCGCGCACCGACGAGGCACCCTGGCACCTTAGGGACAGCCACTCAAGACCTGAAGCGTGAAGATTGGAAGCAGAAAGAAAACTGGCAGCACGGAGAGGACACAATTGCGGGCGTCGGGGGGACGGCCTGCCGCCACCGCCGCACGCTTTGGAAGTTCAGAAGAAATCTTGGCAGCATTCCCACCGCAGCTTCGTTCCCCTCTTCTTAGCTTTACGCTGTCCATATGGGGCCCCTTTGGGATCACCGGATTGCTGTCAAAGCTGTTTCCAAACATTTACGGTCTTCTAATGGGGGCGGCCTGGCGACATGCCTCTCCTTTCTCAAGACCCCTTGCCGGGCCTCTCCTTACCATAGAATTCCCTCCTTTCTGGGCTTCCCCTGCGGGAGCGGCCCTCCGGTGTCCCTTGTCGGGGAGTAATAATGTTTCTGAGCACGTTGGACGGCCTGATCGCGCAAGAGAGCTTCCTCTTTCTGAGCCATGGCTGGAGAGAAAGCCCCGCCCGTCTTTTTGGCGCAGCTCTATTAAATCAATCGCCATTTCCTCTTGCCAATCACGCAAAACAGCCCTTAAGGCAACCGCCTCGACCGCTCTTTGTTTGTTTTTTCTGCCTCGGCCTGTGCACTCCCGGCGCCCGTCTGACGGCGAGGCAAACGAGACTTCTCAGGGGGACAAGGGATCCGCTTTGTGATTCTCCAAAGCTCGTCCATCATGAGGGGGCTTCTCATTGAGAAAGAGGATTGGGAATATAATTCTATTTGGGGGCCACTTCGCCAATGAGCGCGTTGTCATCGGCCAGTTGGGTCTTGAAACCTTTGGGACCCATCGCGACGCACTGGTCCTTTGGTGGCTTATTTGCACCAGGGTTGTGTACCAGGAAGTAAGCTCCGGCAAGTGATAGTAGCATTGTAGCCACAGGCACCATCTCCTGCGGTGTCCATGTTGGCATCATCATCAGCCGTTTGGGCGTCTTGCTGCATCTCTGGGAGGGGAAGTTTGCGGCAGGTCCTCTACAGTGCTGGGCGTGGGCTGGTTAGTCCACCAGATGCCAATTTTCTGGGACTTGGTATCAAGAACGCGCGGGATTCGTGGAGGAGACCTGGATTGGTGTCAGGTGGAGGAGGTTGGTCACCATCGGCATAGGGCAGGTACTTGTACCACACCGCGGGTCGCAATTTTTTCATATTCAAATTTGGGGGCAATATACGGACTCTTCTTGCGGTCTTTGCTAGGAGCCTGCGCTACGTATGTACTTTGCATTTGCGACCCTTTCCTGTGTGGACTTTCTTGTAGTGATAGTACACATACATCTTCCGGCAGGCCGGTTCAGTAGCTTCCACTCTGTTTGGATCTCATTCATCTTGCAGGCGTCACCTGTTCAGCCGCGACAGAGATGGTCTCAACGGAGACGCAGCCAGGCACAGGGGATAACTTCAAAGACTACATGTCTCACATGGACGCGCCTGTTGTTTCTCTTGATACTTTTTCGTGCAATCGAAAAGACTCATTCGAGCCACGGCACTTATAAGACCACCTAGGAAAAGACTCGGCCGCGCAGTTGCGGCGCGACACCCTGACAATAACAATGCAGACAGACGAGCGCCGCGCGGGTAACTTCACTGAATTGCCTCCTCGGGTGTCACTAGCGGCCACGCACTTCTTGAATAACCTCGCGAGGCATCACGGAAGTGTGCTTGGTTTTCGCGTGACGCAGCATTGAGCCCTGTGAGGCAACTGAATGCAGACCGCAGCACTACCGCGGCAATGAAGTCGCGATCGCGATTCTGCAGTCGAGGACCTGGCGCCCTGTCGCGTGGCGCCTCTTCTCAGCAGCGCTGCTGATGTGCAATGTTCCACGCGTGCCATTTTCTGCTTGTGCGCGAACAGAAGTTGGAAGCGTACTGTGAGGCTTGTCTCATTACAAGACCAAAGCCGAGGAAAAAGCGGCGCTACACACGCGAGTTTCACAGACTGTGTTCTGAAGATCATCATCGCCGTCCTCGTCGCCCTCATCCTCATCATTACATTCTGTCCTCGCCTGCTTCGGGGCCATCCTGTCATCTAGTTTCTCAGGCGTCGAATAGAAAAGAAAAAGGGATTTGAATTCAGGCTTTACATTGCGCTTTTCACGGCAGGTTGTTGATACTTTCGCAGACGCCCGCGATAGAGACATCCTCAATTTGGCAGAGGAAATGGAGCAGGACATGCAAGCGGACAAGAGGTTGCAAGTTGCAAGTATAAGTAGGGTAGCGCACGTGAAAAAAGGGAACCCTTCTGTTTCATTTTTTGCTTCAAACAATGTTGGTGCTGACATGGGAGTTGAGGTTTCTAGAGTCAGTCTTTGACCGCATTGATGTTGATCACACGGGGCAGCTCACTTTGGAGCAATTGGTTGAGGCCTTGTGCGCAAGCAGGGCACTTCATCTCTTTGATTTATCTGTGTGTTACAGGCAGAAAGCCGAACTTAATGAATTAAATTACAACAAGATCACATCTTAAAAAGTTCATCTATGAAATGGGGGGGCGTACTGTTGCAGAGAAGTTGAAGAAAACACTCGTCCATTGTTATAGGGGGAATTATATTGATGCTGAGTGGGAGAGATTGCCTAGAGTTGAACTAATTTTTGGCCTAAGCATCGCCATCGAAAACAAACTGGCTCTTGTGTCTGATGTAGTGTGACCTCACGATCAAGGCGATTCAATAAATGACATCGTAATCTCCAGTTTGTCTCCATAAAAATGGTTCCGCGACTTGCTGTGAGATGTTAGCTTCTCCGCAGTACACACTTTCTCCGGCCTTTGTCTTGGCTTGCTAGAGAGGTTTGGACATGCATTTTGTAGAGCAGCTCGTTGAGGGCCAATTCTTCTCAGAACAGCTTTCCTGTCCATTTTGTAGGCTTTTTGTCCTGACCTCACCATTTCTATAGTCTCAAACCCAATGACCGCTGATTTATACTAGTAGAGCGCCCAGGCCCACACCAACTTCCAAAGGGGATCAAAAAAGAATGCGGGGGGCAGTTTTGCCCGCCCCCATGGGCCAGCGTAGTCCGTACCGCGCGCGACCTCTCCAATGTTTGACTCGCCAAGCATTTAGCAAAGCAAAAGCACGTCCCTTTACCGCTTCGACTGGGCGACTGCGGGAAACAACGCCCCCTTCTCCTACCGCTTGGAGAGTCACTAGCCTGTCTCAGTCTGGTGGTGCAACGCGGACCTCATCCCCACATTGAGGGGGCCGGGCTGACATCTCCTCATCGCCCCTCCTCGTTTCGATGGATTGGCTCTGAAAGCAATCCGGGTGCAGTGACACTTTTACTTTGTCCAAGCCACCACCCTGCACTCCGCGCGTCCTTGACACCCGGGTTTTTGGTAGACCAACCCTGCGCCCCCAGCAATCCAGATCTTGAGGGCCTCGAGGGAACCAACGTTCGGACACCTCCGACCATACTGGGAAGCACCAAATCTTTCGCGACAAAAATATCAGCAAAACCAACAAAACAGTCCGCTTCGACGTTCTCCGGGTTCGGGCTTGGTACAACTCGCTGGCGCACAACCCTCAAGAACCAAGCCTTACAATGGGTTGAATGCTCCAACAGCGGATCAAACCCTATATACAGCCAAACGTCGTGGCAGCTACGGGGTATTATAGTTTTTGCGATCCATCCGACTTGGACTCAGACCAGTGAAGGGGGTCCGACAAACGACGGATCTACCAACAAACTCTGAGAGTGCTGCCACTTGCCTTGCATGCCACATCGCTGTCATCCTAACAACTGGGCACTCTCTGAGCGCAAAACGGTAGCGTCGGCCGACAGCGCCCCGTGGTTTCTGGATAGCGATTCAACAAGCAACCTGAACTTGCTTCCTGATCCAATTGGCCCGAGATTTCCACATCTCTGTGTTTCCCATCGCTCGAATGGCAAAGCGGGCCCATCGCGTTCGCAATACAACATCCGGCGCCAGCGTGCGCAGGGCAGCCAACATGGTTTTCCTAGTTCGGCCAAGCACGCTCGGATCGATGCCCGAGAAAAACGAAACAGCAGAGGTCTCGGTGGACACCGCTGCCGGCCCCGCCAGCACGTACTTCACCGGTTGGCCAGCGACCGCCGCCAGTAGTGTCTGGCCATGGACATGCCCACATTGCAATACATTGTTCTCACTGGCGCCAGCAAGAACATTTCTTCCAAGCGCGCCTCTGAGACGCTCTTCCGACACTGGGGTCCCAATGTCGGAGTGGCTGGCCTCGTCTGAACTTAGTGATCTTCTTGCTGTGGCTGGGCAGACTGGCAACGGCGGCAAACTGCTTGCCGACGCCTATGCAGGCCAACGTCCAGACCGCCTTCCAACGCTGGCAGCACAGCGCAGCAGCAGTGCAATGGTGTCCGCTCGACCTCGGCGAACTTGGCTTTCCGGAAGCGCATCATCTACTGGCTCGAGCGTCCCGGCTTGTTCAGCCTCTCGCAATCCAATAATCCATTGCAACGACAAACTTTTTGGTCGCAAATTGCAAGTTGGATCTCCACAAAGCGACGCTTACAAGCTCAAACAGCAGGCAGGCAAAGCGATCGCAAGCTTCAAGAAGTGGCGACGCAGCATGCAAATGCGTGCAATACATGAAAAGAGTAGATCAAATGGATCCAACGCGCAAGCCGCCAACCAACCTAGCCCGGTCATCTAGCATGAACACCGCGCCTTGAAAACCTGTCAGAAATGATGCCAGGCAGCAAGCTCACAGCGCGCCGGGAGAACAGAACAGGTTCAAACTGTGCTTCAGTGTTTGCCCACCCTTCCCACAATCCAAGATCAACCTACAGCCCACGAAATTGCACTGCGGGAAGCAGCTGGTCCCAACAGCTGGCGGAAGCGCTACAGTGGTAGAGTGGCTTCCCCCTCAATGTCAAGTAGATGATTGGTTGGGCAGGTGCTGGGTTTCTTCTTAGAAGCCTGACTAGAAACCGGCAGGTGAGCCTGGCAAAGCCTCGCAACGTGGTCAACGGGGGAAATTATCATTTAGTGATCTTAATCTTCGACGAATCCTTGTGCAAGGCTAGTTCTATCGCTGGAGCGGAACTTGGGCTAAAACCAACTTCGTACAGACGCACTCCCTCAGTGCATTTTCGGCGGACCTCGCAGCCTGCGGTGCCATGGAAAATTGGCCTGCCTGCAGAACACAATGTCCATTGTAGACCCCCGATCGCCATCCGACAAGGGGTGAAGGGGGTCCTCTCTCTCTCTCTCTCTCTCTTTTTCTCTCCGTTGTCGCTCAACTTGCTGATGTGGGCGCGGCTCTTCACACCAAAGAGCAGCAGCGCCTCAACGGATCAAATTCTCGCCTACCAGTTGCTAGATCAAACTTCGAGCAGCCCGAGCCTTGGCCGTGGGCAAGGCAGCCTATGTTGGGTCGCTGCCACACCACCCAAATGACAACCTTCAACAAGGCAGTTCGCAACGCCGGCGCAGCTTTCCACCAGATGCTCATGGGTGGCGTACGATCACTCACTGTCGTGATCGGTATATACGGCAGCTAGTTATTGCTTTGGGCTAAGCGATATGCAACAGAAGCTCGGACTCCACCCAGAATGCCACAAGCCTGTTGGCTCGGCGCGGCAGTTTGCCAATCTGGACTTCAAGCGCAAGGTCGCTCACTGGGCCCAGGACACGTTGGAGACAACAATGGCAATGCTTCGCAAGGTGAGCGCGACGTGACCGCAACCAAGACCCTTTTCACGGCTGGCTGCGCGATAGGTCCGATAGGTGTCGCAGCTGCAATTCGTTGATACGCAGGCAGCTCAGAATCTGCTCCACGTGGCGGGCAGTGGACCATTGTTACGTCAAAAACATAGTGGCGAACAGATTCATCCAAAATTCAAGAACGAATGTGACGAAGGGTCATTTGTATCGGAGACACTCCTGTCACCTTTTTCCAAAAACGCACAGCACTGCTTAAGGAAAAACCCACTGGTGAAACAGATTTTAGTTAAGATGTGTGCCTGAACAGTTCAAGAGCATCAGTGCAAGGCCGTTTGATAAGAACTGACATTGTTTGGAGTTTGGACGGCTGGTTTGGCTTGGACATGTCTTTTGTTGTGCAGGGCGCCCGCACAGATACAGAGTTCCAGAGCCGCTTGAAGGTCACGGACATCGATGAGGCAGGTAGGATGAGATAGGATGAGAGCAAAACTCTGGCCAACTGAGCCTGGTCAGACGGCGGGTGGTCGTTCACGCAGCCATTCTCCGTGTATGTGTATCTTTATCTACCTCTGTCTCTCCTGCTCACGTCTGCAGATGGACTTGGTGCAGCTTTTCGAGATGATTGACATTGACAACTCTGGGTTTATTGAATCTAATGAATTCATCCGACCGCTGAGTCGCTGGGTTCGCGACTCGAAGACCGCTCCTCGAGCCACAGCAGCACTTATGCGGCAGCCAAATGCTGTTGGTCTTTACAGATGAGTTTTGTACACAAGATCACCGTCGCAAGGTTAACATGTTGATGCATGTTTTGCAGCAATTATTGCAAATGTTCTTTCCAGGATTTATCAAGTACAATATGATGCGAACCATGCAGAAACAAGAAGAGTTCCTTGGCTTAACAAAGTGTTTCAATCGATCTGGGCTTGAGTTGCTTCGATGCCGGTTTGAAACAACAAATCTATTCCTGTTCTTTTAGGTGTTCGGATGTTAGGAAGGCAGGAGGCTAACTCCATAATATTTCCAGAGGTTTCGGAAGCGCATTCTCCAAGGCTTCAACAAGAGCAAATTGCACTTCGGCAAGCTGTGGAGGTTCACTTTGCAGAGCTTTGGCAGAGGCTTGACGCTCGGATCCTTCTTTGCTCCTTCCCAGTGTCACTGTGGGCATTCCTTCTTCCAGCCACATCCCATTCTTAGATAAATGTGGAATGGGGTTGGATTTTCGACGGCTTCCAACATGAAATTTGTAAGATGTTTCAAACTTTTGCCGACGGTTGTGTTCATGTTGGCTGGACCCACTTCTTGCTTCTTCAGTATTGGTATAGATCAAAAGCAATGTACCTGTGTTTGTCGAACTTTGCCTGATGCAACAGCAGTCTTTACCTAGGGTCAACGGTAAGTTGGATTTGACTCAAAAACACTTGCAAGAATCAAGCGAAGGAAAAAAACAATGCAACATTTTCCTGTTCTTCACTACACAGCTTTGAGCCGAGGAAGCAGTACAATCCAGTTTCCCACTGCCGAGACAAGACTGCAACAGCTCAATGAATTCGGGGCCGAATTTCAACCAGCCCATGAAGTTGTGGGGGCCACTCGAAGCGGTAGCATTCTCTATTCCTTGTGAATATATATATATATACTTATGCACACACACTTCGAACTTGGGTTTTCAGTTAGACTCAATTGCCACGTTGGG